CATCTGTGCTGATCTGGTCACTTGTGTATAAGAGAACATCCCCACTCTCCCCATCTGTGCTGATCTGGTCACTTGTGTATAAGAGAACATCCCGACTCTCCCCATCTGTGCTGATCTGGTCACTTGTGTATAAGAGAAAATCCAAACTCTCCCCATAGGTGCTGATCTGGTCACTTGTGTATAAGAGAACATCCCCACTCTCCCCATCTGTGTTGATCTGGTCACTTGTGTATAAGAGAACATCCCCACTCTCCCCATCTGTGCTGATCTGGTCACTTGTGTATAAGAGAACATCCCCTTTTTTTCCCATTGGTGCTGATCTGGTCACTTGTGTATAAGAGAACATCCCCACTCTCCCCATTGGTGCTGATCTGGTCACTTGTGTATAAGAGAACATCCCCACTCTCCCCATCTGTGCTGATCTGGTCATGTGTGTATAAGAGAACATCCCCACTCTCCCCATCTGTGTTGATCTGGTTACTTGTGTATAAGAGCACATCCCCACTCTCCCCATCTGTGCTGATCTGGTCACTTGCGTATAAGAGAACATCCCCACTCTCCCCCATCTGTGCTGATCTGGTCACTTGTGTATAAGAGAACATCCCCACTCTCCCCATCAGTACTGATCTGGTCACTTGTGTATAAGAGAACATCCCCACTCTCCCCATCTGTGCTGATCTGGTCACTTGTGTATACGAGAACATCCCCACTCTCCCCATCAGTACTGATCTGGTCACTTGTGTATACGAGAATATCCCCACTCTCCCCATCTGTGCTGATCTGGTCACTTGTGTATAAGAGAACATCCCCACTCTCCCCATCAGTACTGATCTGGTCACTTGTGTATAAGAGAACATCCCCACTCTCCCCATTGGTGCTGATCTGGTCACTTGTGTATAAGAGAAAATCCAAACTCTCCCCATTGGTGCTGATCTGGTCACTTGTGTATAAGAGAACATCCCCACTCTCCCCATCTGTGTTGATCTGGTCACTTGTGTATAAGAGAACATCCCCACTCTCCCCATTGGTGCTGATCTGGTCACTTGTGTATAGGAGAACATCCCCACTCTCCCCATCTGTACTGATCTGGTCACTTGTGTATATGAGAATATCCCCACTCTCCCCATCTGTGCTGATCTGGTCACTTGTGTATAAGAGAACATCCCCACTCTCCCCATCAGTACTGATCTGGTCACTTGTGTATACGAGAACATCCCCACTCTCCCCATCTGTGCTGATCTGGTCACTTGTGTATAAGAGAACATCCCCACTCTCCCCATCTGTGCTGATCTGGTCACTTGTGTATAAGAGAACATCCCCACTCTCCCCATCAGTACTGATCTGGTCACTTGTGTATACGAGAACATCCCCACTCTCCCCATTGGTGCTGATCTGGTCACTTGTGTATAAGAGAAAATCCAAATTCTCCCCATTGGTGCTGATCTGGTCACTTGTGTATAAGAGAACATCCCCACTCTCCCCATCTGTGTTGATCTGGTCACTTGTGTATAAGAGAACATCCCCACTCTCCCCATTGGTGCTGATCTGGTCACTTGTGTATAGGAGAACATCCCCACTCTCCCCATCTGTACTGATCTGGTCACTTGTGTATACGAGAATTTCCCCACTCTCCCCATCTGTGCTGATCTGGTCACTTGTGTATAAGAGAACATCCCCACTCTCCCCATCAGTACTGATCTGGTCACTTGTGTATACATACGAGAACATCCCCACTCTCCCCATCTGTGCTGATCTGGTCACTTGTGTATAAGAGAACATCCCCACTCTCCCCATCTGTGCTGATCTGGTCACTTGTGTATAAGAGAACATCCCCACTCTCCCCATCTGTGCTGATCTGGTCACTTGTGTATACGAGAACATCCCCACTCTCCCCATCAGTACTGATCTGGTCACTTGTGTATACGAGAATATCCCCACTCTCCCCATCTGTGCTGATCTGGTCACTTGTGTATAAGAGAACATCCCCACTCTCCCCATCAGTACTGATCTGGTCACTTGTGTATAAGAGAACATCCCCACTCTCCCCATCAGTACTGATCTGGTCACTTGTGTATACGAGAACATCCCCACTCTCCCCATTGGTGCTGATCTGGTCACTTGTGTATAAGAGAAAATCCAAACTCTCCCCATTGGTGCTGATCTGGTCACTTGTGTATAAGAGAACATCCCCACTCTCCCCATCTGTGTTGATCTGGTCACTTGTGTATAAGAGAACATCCCCACTCTCCCCATTGGTGCTGATCTGGTCACTTGTGTATAGGAGAACATCCCCACTCTCCCCATCTGTACTGATCTGGTCACTTGTGTATATGAGAATATCCCCACTCTCCCCATCTGTGCTGATCTGGTCACTTGTGTATAAGAGAACATCCCCACTCTCCCCATCAGTACTGATCTGGTCACTTGTGTATACGAGAACATCCCCACTCTCCCCATCTGTGCTGATCTGGTCACTTGTGTATAAGAGAACATCCCCACTCTCCCCATCTGTGCTGATCTGGTCACTTGTGTATAAGAGAACATCCCCACTCTCCCCATCAGTACTGATCTGGTCACTTGTGTATACGAGAACATCCCCACTCTCCCCATTGGTGCTGATCTGGTCACTTGTGTATAAGAGAAAATCCAAACTCTCCCCATTGGTGCTGATCTGGTCACTTGTGTATAAGAGAACATCCCCACTCTCCCCATCTGTGTTGATCTGGTCACTTGTGTATAAGAGAACATCCCCACTCTCCCCATTGGTGCTGATCTGGTCACTTGTGTATAGGAGAACATCCCCACTCTCCCCATCTGTACTGATCTGGTCACTTGTGTATATGAGAATATCCCCACTCTCCCCATCTGTGCTGATCTGGTCACTTGTGTATAAGAGAACATCCCCACTCTCCCCATCAGTACTGATCTGGTCACTTGTGTATACGAGAACATCCCCACTCTCCCCATCTGTGCTGATCTGGTCACTTGTGTATAAGAGAACATCCCCACTCTCCCCATCTGTGCTGATCTGGTCACTTGTGTATAAGAGAACATCCCCACTCTCCCCATCAGTACTGATCTGGTCACTTGTGTATACGAGAACATCCCCACTCTCCCCATTGGTGCTGATCTGGTCACTTGTGTATAAGAGAAAATCCAAACTCTCCCCATTGGTGCTGATCTGGTCACTTGTGTATAAGAGAACATCCCCACTCTCCCCATCTGTGTTGATCTGGTCACTTGTGTATAAGAGAACATCCCCACTCTCCCCATTGGTGCTGATCTGGTCACTTGTGTATAGGAGAACATCCCCACTCTCCCCATCTGTACTGATCTGGTCACTTGTGTATATGAGAATATCCCCACTCTCCCCATCTGTGCTGATCTGGTCACTTGTGTATAAGAGAACATCCCCACTCTCCCCATCAGTACTGATCTGGTCACTTGTGTATACGAGAACATCCCCACTCTCCCCATCTGTGCTGATCTGGTCACTTGTGTATAAGAGAACATCCCCACTCTCCCCATCTGTGCTGATCTGGTCACTTGTGTATAAGAGAACATCCCCACTCTCCCCATCAGTACTGATCTGGTCACTTGTGTATACGAGAACATCCCCACTCTCCCCATTGGTGCTGATCTGGTCACTTGTGTATAAGAGAAAATCCAAACTCTCCCCATTGGTGCTGATCTGGTCACTTGTGTATAAGAGAACATCCCCACTCTCCCCATCTGTGTTGATCTGGTCACTTGTGTATAAGAGAACATCCCCACTCTCCCCATTGGTGCTGATCTGGTCACTTGTGTATAGGAGAACATCCCCACTCTCCCCATCTGTACTGATCTGGTCACTTGTGTATACGAGAATATCCCCACTCTCCCCATCTGTGCTGATCTGGTCACTTGTGTATAAGAGAACATCCCCACTCTCCCCATCAGTACTGATCTGGTCACTTGTGTATACGAGAACATCCCCACTCTCCCCATCTGTGCTGATCTGGTCACTTGTGTATAAGAGACCATCCCAACTTTCCCCATCTGTGTGGATCTGGTCACTTGTGTATAAGAGAACATCCCCACTCTCCCCATCTGTGCTGATCTGGTCACTTGTGTATACGAGAACATCCCCACTCTCCCCATCTGTGTGGATCTGGTCATGTGTGTATAAGAGAACATCCCCACTCTCCCCATCTGTGCTGATCTGGTCACTTGTGTATAAGAGACCATCCCCACTCTCCCCATCTGTGTGGATCTGGTCATGTGTGTATAAGAGAACATCCCCACTCTCCCCATCAGTACTGATCTGGTCACTTGTGTAAAAGAGAACATCCCCACTCTCCCCATTGGTGCTGATCTGGTCACTTGTGTATAAGAGAACATCCAAACTCTCCCCATTGGTGCTGATCTGGTCACTTGTGTATAAGAGAACATCCCCACTCTCCCCATCCATCTGTGCTGATCTGGTCACTTGTGTATACGAGAACATCCCCACTCTCCCCATCTGTGCTGATCTGGTCACTTGTGTATAAGAGAACATCCAAACTCTCCCCATTGGTGCTGATCTGGTCACTTGTGTATAAGAGAACATCCCCACTCTCCCCATCCATCTGTGCTGATCTGGTCACTTGTGTATAAGAGACCATCACCACTCTCCCCATCAGTACAGATCTGGTCACTTGTGTATACGAGAACATCCCCACTCTCCCCATCTGTGCTGATCTGGTCACTTGTGTATATGAGAACATCCCCACTCTCCCTATCTGTGCTGATCTGGTCACTTGTGTATACGAGAACATCCCCACTCTCCCCATCTGTGCTGATCTGGTCTGATCTTGTAGCATGAATGACAATCGGTGACTTTCTAGGAAATAAGGAATTAAGGGGATGGTTTTGACCACTTGATAAACAGACACCCCTGATACTGAGCAGATTTGATGATTTTTGACTGGGACTGATTTTTCACACTAAGTTCAGTATTGCTGTGGTTTCTTGTGTTTCAGGAGACTGAGAAGGGGAAATATGCTGCCTCAGACGAGTACTTGGCCCACGTGGTCATCAGTAAAGACGGGAAACTTGTGTTCCTTGTACTGGACAAGTAAGTAGATACTTGCTCCCTTGTAATCTTGGCAACTAACCGACTGTCTATAGGTTACATGACATGCTGCTAGTTGTAATGGCTGGTTATTTTGCTGTCATTATAGGGAAGGTTAATTGTGGATTTAGATGCGTTTTGATTATTGCTTGGCTGGTTTAAAGGTTTACATGTATAAGTTTACTGATGATTTTAGCATGTTACAGATCCTTGTCTCTGTGTTTCTAGGCGAATTTTACTTGCTAAGAGAGGAGAGATCTTCGGATCATGGGACTGTGACTGGACGTACACATGGCCAGATCTGAAAGAGGGTCCCAAGAAGACTGCACGGGGCATTGAGATTATCCTCAAGGTGCGTTCACATCAGTGGCTGGCTTCTGTGGATCTCAACTTCTTGTAACCAGACATGACATATTTCTGTCTAAAGTCAGTCTTTTCTTTTTCTTTTTGGTGTTTCAATGTATAACATTTGTCTTTGGGAGGTGTACACAGTGGTCTATCATGAAGAAGACAAGTATTTTTTGTCATTCTTCAGTGACATGTCTGTGTAAAATGATGGCAGACTGAGATCTGTGTTATAGGTGGTAGACTGAGATTCTGTGTTATAGATGGTTGACTGAGATCTGTGTTATAGGTTGTAGACTGAGATCTGTGTTATAGGTGGTAGACTGAGATCTGTGTTATAGATGGGAGACTGTGATCTATGATATAGATGGTTGACTGAGATTTATGTTATAGATGAGTGACAGATATTTGTTTTAGATTGGAGACTAAGATCAATTTTATTTGGTGGGAGACTGAAATCTGTGTTGTAGATTTGAGACTGAAGTCTGTGTTGTAGAGGGGAGACTGAAATCTGTGTTGTAGATGTTAGACTAAAGTCTGTGTTGTAGATGTGAGACTGAAGTCTGTGTTATAGATGGGAGACTGAAGTCTGTGTTATAGATGGGAGACTAAAGTCTGTGTTGTAGATGTGAGACTGAAGTCTGTGTTGTAGATGTGAGACTGAAGTCTGTGTTATAGATGTGAGACTGAAGTCTGTGTTGTAGATGTGAGACTGAAGTCTGTGTTATGGATGTGAGACTGAAGTCTGTGATATTGATGTGAGACTGAAGTCTGTGTTGTAGATGTGAGACTGAAGTCTGTGTTATAGATGTGAGACTGAAGTCTGTGTTGTAGATGTGAGACTGAAGTCTGTGTTATAGATGTGAGACTGAAATCCGTGTTGTAGATGGGAGACTGGAGACTGAAGTCTGTGTTATAGATGTGAGACTGAAATCTGTGTTGTAGATGGGAGACTGAAATCTGTGTTGTAGATGTGAAACTGAAGTCTGTGTTATAGATGGGAGACTGAAGTCTGTGTTGTAGATGTGAAACTGAAGTCTGTGTTATAGATGGGAGACTGAAGTCTGTGTTATAGATGTGAGACTGAGGTCTGTGTTATAGATGGGAGACTGAAGTCTGTGTTGTAGATGTGAGACTGAAGTCTGTGTTGTGGATGTCAGACTGAAATCTGTGTTGTAGATGTGACTGTGATCTATGATATAGATGGTTGACTGAGATTTATGTTATAGATGAGTGACAGATATTTGTTTTAGATTGGAGACTAAGATCAATTTTATTTGGTGGGAGACTGAAATCTGTGTTGTAGATTTGAGACTGAAGTCTGTGTTGTAGAGGGGAGACTGAAATCTGTGTTGTAGATGTTAGATTAAAGTCTGTGTTGTAGATGTGAGACTGAAGTCTGTGTTATAGATGGGAGACTGAAGTCTGTGTTATAGATGGGAGACTAAAGTCTGTGTTGTAGATGTGAGACTGAAGTCTGTGTTGTAGATGTGAGACTGAAGTCTGTGTTATAGATGTGAGACTGAAGTCTGTGTTGTAGATGTGAGACTGAAGTCTGTGTTATGGATGTGAGACTGAAGTCTGTGATATTGATGTGAGACTGAAGTCTGTGTTGTAGATGTGAGACTGAAGTCTGTGTTATAGATGTGAGACTGAAGTCTGTGTTGTAGATGTGAGACTGAAGTCTGTGTTATAGATGTGAGACTGAAATCCGTGTTGTAGATGGGAGACTGGAGACTGAAGTCTGTGTTATAGATGTGAGACTGAAATCTGTGTTGTAGATGGGAGACTGAAATCTGTGTTGTAGATGTGAAACTGAAGTCTGTGTTATAGATGGGAGACTGAAGTCTGTGTTGTAGATGTGAAACTGAAGTCTGTGTTATAGATGGGAGACTGAAGTCTGTGTTATAGATGTGAGACTGAGGTCTGTGTTATAGATGGGAGACTGAAGTCTGTGTTGTAGATGTGAGACTGAAGTCTGTGTTGTGGATGTCAGACTGAAATCTGTGTTGTAGATGTGAGACATGAAATCTGTGTTATAGATGTGAGACTGAAATCTGTGTTATAGATGGGAGACTGAAGTCTGTGTTATAGATGGGAGACTGAAATCTGTGTTGTAGATGGGAGACTGAAGTCTGTGTTATAGATGGGAGACTGAAGTCTGTGTTATAGATGGGAGACTGAAGTCTGTGTTGTAGATGGGAGACTGAAGTCTGTGTTGTAGATGTGAAACTGAAGTCTGTGTTATAGATGGGAGACTGAAGTCTGTGTTGTAGATGTGAGACTGAAGTCTGTGTTGTAGATGTGAGACTGAAGACTGTGTTATAGATGTGAGACTGAAGTCTGTGTTGTAGATGTGATACTGAAGTCTGTGTTGTAGATTTGAGACTGAAGTCTGTGTTATAGATGTGAGACTGATATCTGTGTTGTAGATGTCAGACTGAAGTCTGTGTTGTAGATTTGAGACTGATATCTGTGCTATTGATGGGAGACTCAAATATGTTATGGATTGGAGACTGAGATCTGTTTTATAGATGGGAGACTGATTTCTGTGTTCTAGGTGGGATACAGATCTGTTTTATAGATGGGAGACTGAGATCTGTTTTATGGATGGGAGACTGAGATCTGTTTTATGGATGGGAGACTGAGATCTGTGTTGTAGATGTGAAACTGAAGTCTGTGTTATAGATGGGAGACTGAAATCTGTGTTGTAGATGTGAAACTGAAGTCTGTGTTATAGATGGGAGACTGAAGTCTGTGTTGTAGATGTGAAACTGAAGTCTGTGTTATAGATGGGAGACTGAAGTCTGTGTTATAGATGTGAGACTGAGGTCTGTGTTATAGATGGGAGACTGAAGTCTGTGTTGTAGATGTGAGACTGAAGTCTGTGTTGTGGATGTCAGACTGAAATCTGTGTTGTAGATGTGAGACATGAAATCTGTGTTATAGATGTGAGACTGAAATCTGTGTTATAGATGGGAGACTGAAGTCTGTGTTATAGATGGGAGACTGAAATCTGTGTTGTAGATGGGAGACTGAAGTCTGTGTTATAGATGGGAGACTGAAGTCTGTGTTATAGATGTGAGACTGAAGTCTGTGTTGTAGATGTGAGACTGAAGTCTGTGTTGTAGATGTGAAACTGAAGTCTGTGTTATAGATGGGAGACTGAAGTCTGTGTTGTAGATGTGAGACTGAAGTCTGTGTTGTAGATGTGAGACTGAAGACTGTGTTATAGATGTGAGACTGAAGTCTGTGTTGTAGATGTGATACTGAAGTCTGTGTTGTAGATTTGAGACTGAAGTCTGTGTTATAGATGTGAGACTGATATCTGTGTTGTAGATGTCAGACTGAAGTCTGTGTTGTAGATTTGAGACTGATATCTGTGCTATTGATGGGAGACTCAAATATGTTATGGATTGGAGACTGAGATCTGTTTTATAGATGGGAGACTGATTTCTGTGTTCTAGGTGGGATACAGATCTGTTTTATAGATGGGAGACTGAGATCTGTTTTATGGATGGGAGACTGAGATCTGTTTTATGGATGGGAGACTGAGATCTGTGTTATGGATGGGAGACTGAGATCTGTTTTATAGATGGGAGACTGAGATCTGTTTTATAGATGGGAGACTGAGATCTGTTTTATAGATGGGAGATTGAGATCTGTGTTATTTGTGGGAGACAGATCTATGATGTAGATGGGAGACTGATTTCTATCAGTATTTTATAAGTTATGTATTTTCTTGTTGTAGGAGAAGGAGAAGAAGAAGTTTTTTGGCAGTAGTTCCTCTAAGAAGGAAGTGCCTATCTCTGATCCAGCCACTGCTGAGGTAAGTTTGAAAGTTGTTATCAGCGAACACAGTAAAGCTGCAAAATATGTAAATGTTCGTCTTGGGAATGTTGATGAGGCTTTTATCAAACACTGCAGGAAACATACATTATACATTACTTCTGTTGGTGGGTACAGATTACAAACCTCACATGGGTACCAAATGTTTATCAAATTGGACACCATGTACATCAATCTCATGTAGATCTGATGACACCGCCATAGGTCGCGCCAAGTTTACTTCCTTATAAGCCAATCAGTGTTGTGGCTTCTAAATTCTGGGCACGAGTTAGCAAAGTATTCAGACAGGCATATCCGATTTGTGTAACTCGACAAAGAACTTAACACGACCATCAGAAGGTCGGGGGTTCGATCCTCGGCCGCTTCATACAAAAATACATTAAAAGATGGTGCTTGGTATTAAGGGGATAAAACAAGGATGGGTCTGCTCGGAGACAGTGTTCTGTATCTATAAGTGGGGTGTCCATGTTAAACTGTGGCATAGTATTTCAGGGGTCTAGCACTATAAATGCGACAGAAGTCTGGAGAAATAGACTGCCTCAGTGGTCTAGTGGTAGAACGTCCGTCCGAAAAGCGGATGGTCCAGGGTTCGGTCACCGGCTGCATCATACTAAAAGACGTTAAAAGATGGTACTTGTTGTAAACCCGATCTAGCACTCGGCAGATGCTAAAACAAGGACTGGTCGACTTGGAGTCAGTATACTGTGTCTGCGTGGGGTATTCATGTTAAACTGCATGGTATCTCAGTCGGCTAGCACTATTAATCAGCATCACATGCATGCATGTCGCTTATATAAGTGCAATAATCTTGGACGCAATGTTAAACCCCATTTCACCTCACCTCACCTCACCTCACCTCACCTGGACAAGTACAGGCATGCAAGGTCACTATATAAGTGCAATCAGCTTGACTGCGACGTTAACCCCATTTCAGGCAATGAGTCCTGGAAGTTAAGAGTGCCAGTATAAGAATGATGACTGCACTTACTATACAACAGTAGCCATGTGGGGCCAGGCCCTAGCATGGGACGGGAACAAACATAACTAGAGTAAAAAGTCAAATCTGTGAAGATTTACTGATGTCTCGGTGGACTATCGTGGACAGTCTTCAAAACAACAGTAATCGTGATGTTGGCATTCTGTCACAAACTGTCAGGTTCAATGATAACATACATACATGTGGTGAAGGAAATGGTTGTCTACCAATCATGGTCCACACAAGGCATCAGATATATTTATGATGTTGTTGATGAAAAGGGACACTCTCCATCATTTGTACAATCATGGAGAAATATAACTTTAAAATTAATTATGTTAACTAATAAGCCTGATCCAGTCTATAGGAATACTGTCGACAACAGAACATCCAGAAGCTGAAGAAACTTAGTAACCCAATTTTACCATTAATTATTTCATCTGTTACAAACCATGAAATGTTCCCATTATTTCTGAAAAGTAATTATGGACACGATTACCAAGAACCATCACTTTCAAAAACAGGAATTCCTGCTTAGATGTGAAATCTGCGAAGCAAATCATGAACATTACAATCCTACACCGTGTGTACATAGTCATGTACATTTCAGTGGTTTCAATACCAAATAGTACATCTTATTCCACCTACAAATTGGCTTGTGTACAAGACGGGAGACGTGGACAGTGACTTGTGTAGGTATTGCTCACCTGTCTTAGAAATGTAAAAAAGTATGCCCCTTCTGGTCCAATAGGAAAAAAATGGCTTCTTAATAAAGGGCAAATGACCATTCGTATCTGAAAAGAAACCATTTTGCTTGAATATTGTTTACAAAACAATAATCCATAATATTGGTGCTGACAAAAGTTATTTTTAACAAAAGAATCAAACACAGATTCCGATATTCCTGTAAATCCAACAGGAGCTTACTCAATATCATTTACGAACAAAGTACATTACAAATGTAATTATGACACGGGATATTTCAACAAGTACTGGTCAAGCTGTCCTTTACTCTTCTCGTAATGCACCACAACTATATGTGTAATACAGACACTTATACAAGGAAAGTGCAACAGAATAAAAAGTAACAAACAATCATCATGTCAGCTACAACTTTCAAACTATACAAGGTGTGCCTGGTATGTGTTATGTAATACAATGCATGTGTTGCTGTGTCTACATGGTACTTATTTCATGGAATTATTGTGGGTTTTCTTCCAGCGAATCGTCACAAAGATTGAAGAGGCTATGGCCAGAATGAAGTAATGTGTGTAGGAGCTGTCGGAACCAAGTCCTTCTTCCTTGGCTGGAGTCCAGTGCGGCCAGGCTTGAGAGGCTGGGGAGGCTGGGGAGCCCGTACACTCCTCTGTGTTTGCATGAAGTGCCGACCTGTACTCTCTATGTCTGAAAGGTTGTGTCTTGTATTCATGACTACCGTGAAAGACATGATTACCTGAAATCCGTTTGATGAAACAATGGCAGATATGATATTTTCATGATTTGGCCCCACATGGGATAGAGAATATATATGTCAATAAATGATATTTATCGACACATCAGGGTAAAGCTTGTCTGGTAAATGCTGTAGTGCTATCTACTTCAACTGAGTAGTGCTAATGTCCCCTTGTTTTGAGCCAGTCTATTTGTTCTAAACGGTCCCATTAACCCCTATGTTGCCATGGAATAGCTGTAAAAGTAATGAAAGCCAAGAATGTTGTAGCTGATGGTTGTGTTCGGCTGTCTGTCAGCGACAGGTCCATGTTTCTTTTGTTTTGAAGACTAGTCATTGTTTAGTTGCTTGATTTGTTATCCCGACCCACACAAGAGTGTGTTGTGGAGTATTCCTGTGGTAGCCCTGACAATGCTCAGTCCTGTGTGAACAACATGCACATCATGTCACATTTCCTGTCTTGCCAAGTGTTGGGGAGAAACCTTGCATTCTTGAATCTGGTAGATAATGAAATGTATGTCACAGTGATTAAATGAATGTAATGGACAGGATTCAAAGCAGTTGTTAGAACAAGTGGTGTTCTTGTGTTATGGCCTTATATAACCACCCCAGCAATATTGTTTGTTGTGCTACATATGCTTGTGTTCTGCTTCACCTATGGTGCTATTCATTTGCTTGTTTCCTTCTAGTCTGCCCGGATCACACACTGTCATGTATCTATGTCTACTCTGCTGTCATTTATTCCACAGTTTTTTGTGTGACAAGCAGTTTCAGGCATGTATGAAATATATATTATGCTATTTGGGGTGTTAATAATTTAGTAAATATTTGTACATGAAGCGATCATGTACATCTTTATAAAATGTATGAAAACATTATATGAATATAGTGTTGAATTGAATGATTTTGCTGACATTCGTCAATATGCAAGCTGCTGAACTCTGCCTGGCCTTACACCAGTATTGGTGAGGGAGCCAGGGCGAGGTCACATGGTTCAACCGACTGTTCCAGCAGTATTCCCCCTGGTTGCTTGGCTTGGCTGGCTCTACACAGAGACACAGCCACAAGCCTCATTCACCAGCGTTGTGGGTAAATCACAGCTAGGTTCTGGGAGAGCTTGCACCAAGTGTAGCTATGCAGACCAAGCAGTGCCCCTGTCTGTTGTGTGTGTGTCGTCTGCTACTCTCTAGAGTTGTGACAGGGTATTAGCTGAACATCATGCAAACATGATTATCTATACAGTGTGATGTTATTTTATTTCTTTTGATATAATTCAAGTTTTATGACACTTTGTTGTAAGATTCTGTATATTTTAGTGGAACTGATTTCTTGAGTTTTATTTTCCTTTGTTGTGATTTTATAGTTTAATGCTTTTGAAGGCAGCATATTTCCCTATGTGAGGCATGGTAGTGCTCCAGTATGTCGCCCCAATGAGACAGGTCCAGCTTCAGGCCTCATCCAGCCTGTCACATACTCCATACAAGTATTACCTTTTGGTTATGAAGGATTTATTTATGGGCAAGGTTGAACAGCATAATGTGTCAATATGTTTGCAACTTGCAGGCCTAGGTATACCGGGGTAGTTGTGCTTCGATAAAATACTTGATGAAATCCCGAAAGGCTATGCTTTCTGCATTTTCAATTTTTTTCTCCCTTTTCTGTAGTGTTGTATTTTATGGGATTTAAAGGTTTCAAGTCTTAAATGATGTGTGAGGAGTGATGAAAAAACTTAATATGTGTCAGTTGATCTCATTTCTAGCTGTCACAAATAATGACCCTACTCCTGCCCCCTGAGCTCCCTTCAACTTCTTGTTCATGTCCCTCCCTGTAACAGGGAATTCCCTGGGAGTACAGCCAGCTTTAGTCCAATCCCGGTATTTACCCCCATCAGTGTCGGCGGCCTGCAACCTGCCTTCTAACCTTAATAGTTCTAATTCAGTATGCATGTTTATTCATATCGCCTAAAGGGACTTCTGAATAATACCTTGTCTTTCAACTTTCCTGTTAACTTTTCTAATTTTTTTTCTATGTGTAGTAACTTACAAATGTGTGTGAGCTTGTATCGTGAGTCCCCTGAGCACACAGAAGGGCCCGTGACTGGGGCCCACATACAGCAGCCCCAGCCCGCATGTGCTGGGCGGGGACATCATATCCCAGTACTAACTTGCAATATTATGTATAGCTTCTACTGTAGTGTAGTGGGCTGTGGTCCGTGTGGGGACAGGGAGATGCACCTACGTGGTGGTGGCTGTAGCATTGCTAGAGGACTGTAGTGGAGGCTTATTAGAGCAACACAATCCATGGTGGTATCATGCACACCTAACAGTGTAATGTGTAGTAGGTAGTAGACTGAATGTATTTTAATTCATGCCAGCAATTTTGAAATAAAACAGTAAAATGTTGTATTTGTTTAGTTGATTTGTTGATATATACCGATCGTGTATACTACAAGTGTCAGAAACGTGTAGGAACATGCCAGATTTACAGTGCCAGAAACATGCATTGAAACAACGGTGATGGGAACATGCATTGTTAAAAAACAGTGACGGGAACATGCATTGTAACAACAGTGTCGGGGACATGCATTGTAACAACAGTGACGGGAACATGCATTGTAACAACAGTGTCGGGGACATGCATTGTTAAAAGACAGTATCGGGGACATGCATTGTAACAACAGTGACGGAAACATGCATTGTTAAAAAACAGTATCGGGGACATGCATTGTAACAACAGTGTCGGGGACATGCATTGTTAAAAAACAGTGTCAGGAACATGCGTTGTAACAACAGTGTCGGGAACATGCATTGTAACAACAGTGTCGAGGACATGCATTGTAACATTGTCTTCAGATTTGCAGAAGATGCTCATTATTGAAAAAGTCAAGCGTGGCCTGCTCGTTGTTCACTCCGTTCGGGTACTCATGACGCCTATAAACGAACCCAACAAAGAAACGAAACGACTGCTGTATTATTGCAGAATGGTAATGAATGCCATGCACCAAGTCAGTATACCCAGTTTGTTGTGCTCAGCAACAACAATTTGAAACGATGTATAAGAAACTATGATGTTTTGAAATGCGACAATGATATTGTCCACTTACAGGATGGATCTCCCCGCAGTAGGGAAGTGTAGCATTACTTGGCGTGTCGGGTACCCTATCTTGTGTGCCTGCCCTGAGATCGGGGTCTACAGACTCATGCAATGTGTGATGGGAGCCATGGCCCACTCCTTGATTGGAATTGTGAATCGAACTCTGCCTCTGTGGTTGTGATATGGCAAGGCCAAGATATGATTTCTACTGTCAACAACTTGATGACTGACAGTACATGTACAGAGGGTCTCCCTATTGAGACATACCGTCATACGGAACACATGAGTTTTGCCAGTGCAACATTTTATGCACAAAAAGTTTCAGCCCTACGGATGTTAATGACTACTTTACGCTAGATTAAGCTCACATTTAGTCTCTGAAATGAAAACATTTAAAGATAATATATTTGTCAATACATGATACAAAGGAGCCAAGAGCATGCTATCACTATTTTGCCTCTTGCCTTTTGCCTTTTACCCATAATGAAAGATGTTTCGGCAGATATTCGAGATTGATTATTCTCTTGGGCTGACATTTTATATTCATTATGAGGCCTGACGACATTAACACTTGCCTCACTAACTAATTGTTACTTGAATGGGCTGTTTCAGTGCCTGGTATTATATATGACTACACTGGATTCATCGTGTGTGCGTGCGTGCGTGCGTGCTGGCATATGCGTTTTGAGAGGATGCGGTGGGCTTCCTTGAACCAGTGCTGTAGCACATTTACCCAGTGTATTCCAAGTATGGTGTCTGTTCTCTCTGAAACCTCCTGGAACGAGACTGGAATAGAAAAATGACGAGTTATGAAACGTCAGCCATATTATGTTGTTTATTACTCAATTCAGAACACTACTACAGGATCATCACAGTTTTGTAAATATGTCGACTTAAGCCGAAATTACTCGCACTCTAGGGTGCACAGTAAATATGTGTAATCAGGGCTCGCGGAAGGAGAATACAGCAGGTACTATGTTGAGAAGAAATTATCCACAAGGGGTGGTTGACAAGTTCTAATAAACAAGTTTCTTTGATGAATGAATGTACTCTCTCCTGGGAAATGCCTACTGAGCTAGCAATATGACGCTCAGTCATTGGCCTGTTAGTCATCACCATATCGTGGATTCTCTGGATCACTTCTGGTGTTGCTGAAGTGACAGGCCTTCCAGGACGGGGGTCGTCTTCAAGGCTCTCCCGGCAAGGGGCATCCTCCCGTAGTGGTGTACTTATATCGTCATGGATGGCTTTTGGTGTTAAACCCTTTTTTCTGCAGTTACTTTGTCCACTTCCCAAAGGTCACGGACCACAGCTTATTTTACTGATTTGTCACAGCGAAACTATTTGCTCAGCTGACACTTGGTTTTGCGGATATACCTCAAAGACATCATATTGCACAATTACGCAATTCCTTCTCAGAACTTAACAAACACCCATGTACCATGTCCTTGTACCAACGCACACTGTGGTCCACAACAATGTCTGCAATCACACAGCTTGCGGCAGCTTCATCAATTTACAATGCATGCATTAACATTTGAGTTTACAAATGCTTTCCTATTTAAAGTTATCCTACTAAAAATAAGTAAAGATCCTTAACTCATTTGAGTAATAAAATACATGTTTCATGCTCGATACTAATACCATGCTCAAGCCGCACCATTATTATCCGGTCAATGGACCAGTGTGCACTCAATTTTCACTGTCATCTCCCGGGGGAGTACCGAAGCGGTCTGTGAGCTGCGAAAATGTCGGGACGTAATTTATAATGTTATATTAGAAGTTATATTCTGAGACAGTTTTGAAAGTTTCCTTTTTTGAATGAGTATCGTCATGGTCGTTGGCCTGCATTACACAACAACAAGCTCTACAAAAAGAATCTTCAGCTCCTGGCAAGAGCGGCCAGCTACAGTTGGAAGTCGCCAGCTATTTTTGGCATGGCGATCTCGCAGATGAAGGACTTCGTTTTGGAGCAGGGAGACGGATCCATGGCCCCACCCTTGGTGATCTCTAGGCATGTTTGATCAACCAAATGTTTGGCTATGTCGGGGATAATCGCCCCGTCCAGCCAGCGCCACACGCCTGCCACCTCTTCGCCCCCGAGGTAAATGTTGGAGCCCACTGAAAGGCCACAACGTGCACACATGAAAGGTCTATGAAGAAACAATAACACATTGTAAGTACTCTACATAGCAATCTAAATACACTAACGAGACGTGTATACGTAGACACAATTATTATATCAGAACATCCCCCACACATCCCCCCCACACACACCCCCATAGTGTATAAGTGTATATGTACATCATTCCACCATGGGGGGTGGGGGTGGGGTGGGTGGGGGGTCACTGTGGAGGACGGACTGTATACGTACTTCATTCCACCATGGGGGGGAGATCACTGTGAAGTAGGGAGTGTATACGTACATCCTTGCACTACTGTGGTGAGGAATGACAGCGCATATTCATCCTTGGGCATAGCTAGGTCGGCCCCATACTGCTGGCAGATGCTGCGGGACGCCTCGAAGGTCATTTTCTGGACAATCACCTTGATGCAGATGTTGTAGACGTCGACGAAGGTAAAAGACGATATGCACGGATCTGTAATAAATACATGTCATTAATTTTAATAATAATGAAAACAAGTACACAACAGTCACTTGAGTGAGTGTGTGATGTTTAACAGTATTTCGGTCATGTCACTACGTGTTAGCCTACGTTTAGGAGGCAAGCCTTGGGAGATGCTGGGATTCCTTTATATCACATTGGATGTCCAAGTTACCACGAGAAGAAACAGTCTGCTGCCAGGTTTAATCGATAGGCCTGGATACCCATCTGTGTCTACATGTCTAATGAAGGAATTCCGAAGTTTAATTCATAAATATTTGTTCAGGGTATCACCGGAAATCAGTCTCAAGACCGATAAGTAATTCTAGTCACCAGTCTCTCAGCACTCTTGACCAGGACACTTGCACAAAGGGATCTTAGCGCTAAGATGATCGTAACTCCCATACTTTAACATAGGCTTCCGATAGTCTTAGCGCTAAGATCGCTTTGTGCAAGTGGACCCAGGACACTTGACCTGCGTAGGACGAGGGACTGCTAGTCATATGGGTTGAATTCCATCTATAGTGTTAACATTGACCAATTTGACGAGGCAATAACATGTTACTGACACATGAAGTAATCAAACCGTTTCAAGTGTGTGATGTGGCCATCGCCACGCGCCCGCGTTACATATCGTTTCAAATTATTGTGTGACAGAATTTTCTTTGGATAGTTGCTGATAAGGTGACGTCACTTCTTAAACAAAGCTATGCAGAGACTTGTCCAGGGTATCTATGACAATAGATTGGAGGTACTGCTGGATGTGAGTGACATCGGTCCACCACACACGCCTACAGCCCACCTGCTCGACTGTAGTACTTATAGCCAGTGCTGTGGACTGTCTGGGAGATGTCGGGTCTGACGAGGCCGTCCACGAGGCTGCAGAGTCCGTCACTGTCGCGGTAGTAGAAGGAGAAGCAGGTGGGGGACAAGGAGGAGCAGAGCTGGCCACAGTGGAGCTTGCTGCTGGCCCGGAAGGGTCCGGGCAGTGACATCAGGGCGACATCTCTCGCCACCAACATGTACACCAGGGCTGTCGATGTCATCTCCGCTGTTGTGTGAAACTGGAGAAACAAGCTAAAACAGTACAGGATACTACTAAACATATACGAAATATACCTGTAATGTTTTTTCTCTAAATAACATAGGTGATTCTACCAGGTAGATCCTCGGATGAGTGAGTGAGTTGGGTTGAAAGCCGCATTGAACAGTATCTGCGTCATATCCCACCTTAATGTTAGAAGAAAGACCATAGTGTGACATGTCCTAGATGTTTAACACTTTTATAAAAATGATTTCTTTCTATAAACATAAGAAATCTCTGCTAAACGCACGAGCACGAGCATGGGCATGGGGCGGACAACACAAACGGAGTTCCAGATAAAATGTGTCTATGTGAGAACCATAACCCGACTAATTTGCATGGAGTTAATACGCACGAAACATTCCAAAAACCAAACTGAGTAATTAACCAGCGTAGACTTTTCAGCTTGCCAACCTGAACATCGTTACACATTATTATTTCCTGGTCGAATGCAGGCATCGCCAATACACAAACTGTGCTGGAGTGAATGATGCACCAGGTTCCCCAGGCAAGGGAGTTAACTGACTGTAAAAGTCCAGTTTCCATCCTTGCCGAACCAGGCTGTATTATGGAGTTACATTTTGGCTGGACTAACGAGTCCATGCATAGTTCAGTCAAAATCGCGTAACAAACTAGACATCCGGTTCGTAAACAACATTGATTTCGTAAGACACGTTCTATGGATGAACAACCTCTTTATTACAATTAGTGCGACGTTTCGGTTTGCTTGATAAAGGTGTTAGGATCTACACTAAAACGTCGCACTAATTGTAATAAAGAAGTTGTTCATCCATAGAACATGTCTTACTTCATCACACCAACTTCTAAATGCCACTTAAAGAAGTAACGTGGATTTCAACGTACAGATTTCGGTCGACTGCAGGATTTGCAAAACATGTGTAAAACTGGGCGTGGACATATTTTGCAAATTCTTTCATGTTTTTAATCAAGGTGCTCACGTGATTCGATGCACTTTGCGAGGTAAGACCCGTTCAATTACAACACAGATCTTGACTATCGAGCAGATCGTCTTGATTGGGCGCCTCCATTTTGTTTGAATCAAATGCCAGTGATACGAGAGATGAAATCTGATTGGTCAATAGGCGGGATTCTTCAATAGAAGGGACATAACTCGTAATAGCCACTGGTGGCGCTACGATCGAGCCTGGAAATTCCAACCGAGTTCGGCAAGGGTGGAAACTGGACTTGTATAATCAGTTAACGCCCTTGCCTCAGGAAGATGATAATGAACATACGTGATAAGACTCACTAAGTGTAACAGAGGCACGTTGTTGTGAGTTGGCGACGGGCGACACACTTGGGGCTGCACGTGAACAGAAGAAAATTAGAAGTCACCTGAAACAGTATTTTAAGCAGAATTATTTAAAAAAATGTTTCCTCGTTGTTTTAAAAATACCCAATCGACTGACCAAAGGGAGTAAACATGTATTGAATTTCGAAAGAAAGATATCAAATACTCAATGTGAATGATAACCTGATTATGAGTAAATACTAAATGGCTTGATATATAATCTGGAGCTCTGCACCAAGAATAAAAACTGGGGATTCGAACACACGAGCATCGTACTCTGGCACCGACTCTTCTGGAGTGAGGAAAGTACCAAGTATAGTATCCTTGGACATGTAATCTACAACCAACTTGAAAAAATCAATGTTCTATTCATGTATGCGTTGTCACTTTTTTATCCCCTCCTTTAATATATTTTCCGAGCAGTGAGACCAATGTTACAGCGACAGCAAGTAGTCAATCCATGTGACCATTACTGCCCCACACATGATTGACGGGAGTAGAAGGTATGCAGTAGAACGGATGCCCGCACCAGGAACCATACCAAGTACTGCTTTTGTCCCCCGATAACCAAAGGATATTTGACATGGTTACATTCATGCTGAATACAAACAACAAGCGAAGTCAATAATTCAACATTAAATTCGATATGATTTGGATAAAATTGAAACCTCGCAAGCTTGAAATCACTCTGGTTGTAAGTCTTCCAACTTGTATGATGACGAGCTCAACATGTCGCCATGTTCTACAGCCTTCTTTGTGTGTCTTGTCCAACCACAGAACTTACAAAACCATTATCAAGATAGCATCGCCCTTGTTTGTAAAACATCATTAACTTTCACTATTGAAATTTATTCCAATTACATCACAGATAAAATAAAAATGAATTGATTCTTCTGTCTGTCTGAAAAAGAGTGATGAAAGTTTGCACAACGATTTTAGACATGTGTTTCTTTGATGAGTTCGGAACTTTATACAGGGCAATCCTACAGAGGACTCCAGATCAAGGGTGTTGTCTTTGGGAGCACATTCCCAGAATATACGAATAGTGTTATGAGTGACGTTGTATATTTGTGTGGTTCACAAGGGGTCCAGTTTGGGTGGACGGCGTCATGCTTGATTGAGTGAAGCAAGCTGCCTGACGGGGGAAACGTGCTTGTGGGGTGATTGGAGTTTGAGTTGGCTTGGTAACTGATTGGTGTGGGCCGATCAACCTTTTGTTGTGTGCTGAAGTAGATAGCTTACTTGGAAATTTGTTTACTATATGAGGGCAAGTTATCGAACAGAAAGGGGGAAGGAAACAGAATTGGAGAGGGAGAAATATGGTTTAACTGAACGAGGGCAGTTCAGCCCAGCGTTATGTCCGGAGACAAAGTTAGAAGGTCATGTGGACGCTTCAAAGGAGGAAACTGTTGTTACCCAGTTATCCTGTGAACTGTGATATATAAGTTTGGAACAATGTGAAATGGAATTCATTGGGAATGTGATGTCAAGAAATCTGAGGTGACTATTATCTATATTGCACATTTGCCATATTGCTTTGCCTAAATAGATGTGTATGAGTGCCTTGCCCAGTAATTGAGAATTGTTATATACTTATCTTTGTTTTAATTATTAAATCCAGCTTTAAACTTCAGAGATTGTTGTGTGATTCTTGTAATTGTTATTTGTGGTATTAGCGGGAACCCCTGCCGTTCATACCACACGTAACAATAGCGCTTCTAGGACTTTCAAATAAGATCCATCAGCTCCATGAAATACTGTTCTGATAAAATATTTTTTCAGACTTTATATAGTATTTCAATGTGGTGTGAATGCTATTACTTTTAACGCTGTTTAAGAAAAAATATATTCCTAGTTTAAGTTGTTATTCAGTCGGGAGGGCCTCCTGCATGGTAAGGCACCCTATAAAATACAAGACACACCAGTACACACCATCCACTAGTTGGATCCTGGAGGTGTCGTTCTTGTGGGGGACTTTTACGCCCGGGCGAGCACACATATATACGACACTCACATACCATTTCTTAGCAGACATCCGAATCTTGTCGTAATTATTATGATTGATAAGAATGGAAGAAAACGTTTCCATTAATATATAGGCATGAATTAAAATATCCTGGATGGAATATCTTGGATGACTACAGGCTACGTGAATGTACCAATATTGGCTTATGGAAACACGTGTCACTAGTGGTAGTATTGTAACCAGCGTGGAAACATGTTAGCTCCTCGGGTGGATTCAAGACAACAGCCAATCACTGTCACGTGACAGTTACGTTTTTATATATGGACACGACGCACGTGCCATTGACAGTGCTCGCGATCGATGTGAAAAGCCCGGTTTTCACATTAACTGACTGATGAGTTTAATGAACAGATTTTAATGAATATCATTAACTATGTGTCTAGGTAATAACATATATACATTCTGATATGTATCAGGGCAAGGAAACTTACGATTGTTGGTTTAAGACTGTTTCAATAATGAACATGTGATGTTGGTTCCGCATCTCTGTTTGATGGTCCACGCGTTATTGTGAACTTCCTTGTCGTGTTAAATGCATTATACAGAACAGGTACAACGGCAGCTATGTGAAACAGCTGTAAACATCTCACAGTTGTGTGTTGTAGCAATATACATGCTGCATGACACACTGTTGTGTTCCTCCTCAGGGAAGCCTTTTTGTATTAGGCCTATATCTAAGGTTGTATTTTATGCATTTTTTAGCATACTGTCTTAAGTTGTGCTTTGTTAACACTGGCGATCTCAGGTTAAATCGAATTAACCTTGGTTGCCAGAAATACGCTAATCTCAGTTGACAACTTTTAACTATCGAACACAGGTAGTGTTATTACACAAAAATACATGTGAGCTATGTCTGCAGGTCCGAATCCCGACACTATGTGTTATCAGGGCTTATTTCAGGTATGTAATGGTCATGCTGGGACACAGATACCAACCATATCTGAATAAGAGTCAGATCTGATTATAGACTCAATATGCAGGGCCGGGGAATCTATTAAACGAAAGAATAATGTCTACACACGGAATGCACACCCATGATATGATACAGATTGTGTTTATGTGAGAGAGGGCATATTAGTGTATCACCTATAATCCCTACCGGCACTCTAATGACAATGCGTCTTTGAAGAATATGAAGTTGGTCTAGGAATTTAGGAGTTACACCTGGAGATAGCGTCCTCGTGTTATAACTAATGTAGTTCATGAGAATACTATATTTTGGTTACTACACATGGGGGTAGTGCAAACGTTGATTCTTAATTCAGATGACTGATTCACTTTTACTATAAAGTAATTACTTTTTTAATACGCATACCTTGCTTACTGGCATTTTACACCTCTTGCATTTGACAGTGCTGTTTATTGTGGAACAAGTACCTGTCTCACACTTCCTAACCTTGTGTATGTAAATTCCAAAATCAAAATCAGCATCCATTTTGTCTCCACATTCATGTGATGCTTCAAAGCACTTAGCGGTAATGAAGATGTATGACAATCTTCTCAGGGAGGACAGAGTGACGACGTACAGGAGACGCATAACGCACCCGCAGTATAAAGAAGCAGCTTGGTCTAATGTCAGGGGAAGACGCCGTGGGTAACAGCTAGCTAGTCCGCAGCTCATTTCTGACTGGTGCTTTATGGAAGAAAACAACGATACTGAAGGTCTAGTGGCCGTGTCTGTCCCCCAAGATGTCAGCCCGACCGGCTTGGCTGTGTGGTCACTTATTGGACATTTCGATTCAGGAAAGGAATAAAGCTGTCAATTTAAACAGAGGCCAATGATGTTTAGCAAAAGGTTAACTTTTATATTAAAATATGTTCGTACCTAACACCTGGCCATCAGGGATATACTTGGCCGCTGACGCGAGTTGCCGATAGGTACATACACATCCTAATCTGTCTCTCCTTCCACACGGACCACGTGTACAGTTCAAAGTTGAAACTCGTCACGATATGACTGAAATATTGCCGCTGTGACGTAAAGCATTAACTCACTCACTCAAAGTTGAAAGATAGAGGTTCGTGTGTACATACACCGACTTATCTTGTAAGTGGTGTCGGCACTTTGAGTCGACAGCCTACCAGTCGGGTATAACATATAAGCAATAATGGCTCCAAACACACAACTTGTGCTTTACCTTATGTTCTTCCCCATGCAACATTGCACTTAGGGGTGACAACTAACCACACGCTAAGTTCACTGTGCACCCTTTCCATGCATAGAAGCTGCACTTCAGATTACAGTTAAATCATCGACCATCCATATTTATCGAATCAGTGTAATACAGTGTTAATGCCTGACATGCTACAACTACATAGGTGTGTACTGAGGTATACTTACATAGCAGCAGGCAGTCAATGGCTGTCAACGCGCGCCGTGGAATCCTATGGGGGAGTTCTTGCAACTGCACGAGAGTCACTCCTTGTTGTGTTGTAGTAAACCGCAGTAATTATGTAGCACCACTTCTGTCTTCACAATGGCGGAGAGTTGGGCATTCATCCTGCTCTGCCCTGTTGTCTAACTATCTGAATGCACGTATTATCAAAGTCAGAGCGGAAGTGTTAATGAGCCGAGGGCTCGAGGCCCTGGACACAAAGGTGTAATCAGTGCTCAGCTATAGCAGTATAACAACGGTGTGAACAACCTGATTTCTAATCAGTCTTATCACACGGCAGTAATCGTGTTCAGAAGTGAGTTCCCCCTTTCAGAGCCATATTGACCATTCATACATCGGAAGCAGGTGATAAGGTATTCTAAATACTAAACGAATAACAACACTATACCTAACTCATTAAGTGAAATATTTCCAATAAGATTGCATGATTACTAAACTAAAATTGCGAGGTCACGAAACTCTCCGGTCCTCTTCTGAAAAACTGTATCTGAAACGTGGATGGTTGTCATATACGCCAAACTATGGTAGCCGCTGATAGGATGAATGAAGCGTTATTTGTGAGTGTTGTCATATATACACCGCCATACTATGGTGGCCGCTGATAGGATGAATAAAGCGTTATGTGTGAGTTTTGTCATATATACATCGCTACACTATGGTGGCCGTTGATATAGGATGAATGAAGCGTTATTACTTACTTACTTACTTACTTACTTTGGAGATTTAACGTGCGCTTTCCGACTGATGCGTATTTCGCACACGGGCCCGGCCAGGCCATTTAATGTGTTTCCGAAAGGGGCGAAGGTGGTCTGTGCAACCCAAGAGGGGGGTTTTAGGGGTTGCTTATATAGAATTTGGGAATTTTGAGATTTGGAATAGATGCCGATGGGATTGGGGAGGAGAACTAAGGGAGCTGGGTATGGTGGATGTTTGTTTGTTTATGTGATTTTGATTTGGTAGGTTATTGTGTTTTTAGATGCGTTTTATTAGTTCCGTTTTTATTAAGAATACGCCTAAGGCCTTGAAGTTTTCTAGTTTATTTTGTGGGTTTAGTATTGCTTCTAGAGTTAGAGCCTTGTTTAGATTGAGGGTGGTTTGTAATGCGGTTCGATGTGTTAGGTAGTGTGTGCAGTGGATGAGTGCGTGTTCTGGGGTTTCTGGTTGTTTGCAGTGTGGGCAGTTACCTGTAGTGTGTTTTTAAAAAAAAATTAGGTGGTTATTTAGGTTGGTGTGTCCTGTTTGGAGTTTAGTGATTACTCTGTCGATTTTTTTGGATGGATGGAGAATTTTTGGTTTGGTTAGTGGTTTGCTGAGCACTTTTTTGATTTGGCTATTTGAGTTTTGATATAGGTTATGCCATTTTTTTGTGATTTTTTGCTTGTTTACACTTTTAATTTCTGATTTTGAGATGGGTAAGTTTAAGCTTATTTCTGGGATTTTGAGGGATAGTTTAGCTGCTTTATCCGCGTTTTCATTACCGTATATTCCTACGTGGGCGGGTATCCACAAGAAGGTTATTTGTTTGCCTGCCTTAGTTAGGTCGTTGGAGCTTTTAAGTATTTGATTTATTAATTTAGGTCGGTTTTTGGTATTTTTGTTTTGGAGGGCTTGCAGTCCACTTAGGGAGTCGGTAAGTATTAGGATTTTTTTGTGGTTTTTGGATTCTTGATTATGGAGGGCTGAGGCCATGCCCATTAGTTCTGCCGTGAATATTGATTGGTTGTTTGGGAGTCGGAAGGATTGTGTGGTTTTAGTTGGTTGTGTGGTATGGACTCCGAAACCTGTGTGTTTGGAGGTCGGATCTGAGGATCCGTCCGTGTAAATGTGACACCAATTTGGCCAATTTTCGTGTATGTATGCTAGTGTGGTAGTTTTAGCTATGTTTGGGTCGGTTTGTTTATTTATTTGGCTAGCTAGTGTTGTGTCTATTTTGGGTATTTTAAGTTTAGGGGTAAAGATATTTGATTGTTTGCAGTTTTGTTTAAGATTTTTAATTTGGTGTTCATTTAGGTAGTTTGTTATTCTTTGGGATATTGGGGTAAGTAAGGGGTGTTTACGAGCTAGAGCTTGGTTTTTGGGGCTGATGTTTTGGTTTATTAAGTTTTGGATGAGAGGGTTTGATTGGGACGCGGCCCAGAAATTTAAGCTTAGCTGTTCCCTGCGTAGACTTAGTGGCATTTCTCCTGTTAAGGCCTGAAGTGAGGTGTAGGAGGTGCCATGTTGGGTGCGTGTAATTAGTTTGAGAGCCTGATATTGTATTGAGTCAAGTTTTTTAGATAGAGAGTTGTTTAGGGTGTTGTATATGGCGCAGCCGTAGTCTAGTTTTGATCTAATTAGTGATATGTAGAGAGAGAGGAGGGTATCTTTGGATGCTCCCCAGTTAGAGCCAGTTAGGCATCTTAGGGTGTTTAGGTCTTTACTGCATTTAGTTGTTAGGTTTTGGATGTGAGCATCCCAGGTGAGATGTTCATCGAAAATAAGTCCTAAGAATTTGGTTTGTTTTTGAAATTTGATTGTTTGATTGTTTAGCTGGAGGATTGGGGAGGCGGGTTTCATGTTTTTATGTTTGAATACTATTCCTGTTGTTTTTTCTGAGTTAAGGGAGAAGCCCCATTTGTCAGCCCATTGTTGTATTTTATTAAGAGATTTTTGGAGTAAATTTTGGACCATGTTCATGCTTTTAGTGCGGATCCAGATGGCTCCATCATCCGCGAATTTTGATGTGTTTACTTTAGGGGATAGGCCCTCGAATAGATCGTTTATCATTATATTGAAGAGGGTGGGGCTGAGGATACTGCCCTGTGGAGTACCATTTTCTAGGGGACATTGGTCCGATAGAGTTTGGTCTATACCCACGGTTATTTTACGATTGTTTAGGAAGTCCTGGATGTAGTTTATTATCTGACCTTTGAGTCCTATTTTTTTAAGTTTTTGTATTAGCCCATCGTGCCATACCATGTCGAAAGCTTTAGAGAAGTCTAAGAAGATGCCTGTGGTATATTGTTTATTTAGCTGTCCTGTCTTAATATCTTGTTCTAGTCGGGCGAGGTTATCTAGGGTTGAGCGGCCAGGAGTGAAACCGCTTTGATCTGGGTTTATGATGTTATTTTGGGTTAAGTAATGTTGTAATCTATTTTTAGCCATTGATTCCATTACTTTACATAAGTTTGAAGTTAGGGATATTGGTCTATATGAGTTAGCTTGATTAGCTGGTTTATTAGGTTTAGGGATTGGTATGACTAGGGCCTGTTTCCAGGGAGTAGGAACCTGTCCGTTTAGGTAGATGAGATTGTATAGTTTGAGTAGTGCCTGGAGTAGTTTTAGGGGGAGTATTTTAATTATTTGGTAAGAAGTTAGGTCTAATCCTGGGGCTGTCCCCTTTTTCCTGTTTTGGATTACGTAGAGGAGCTCCTCCATTGTGTAGGGTTGATTTATTTCTAGATTGTTATTGTTTGGTTCTTTTGTGGGTTTGTTTTCTGTTTTAAGTTTATCTTGGAATTTTTTACTGAAGTTGGTGTTACTGCTAACGGCCGAAAAGTGGTTGGCGAGATTATTTGCTTTTTGGGCGGGGTTGGTTGAGTTGTCAATGTTAGGGTTTTTTTTATGTCGTTTTAAGCCTCTGATGGCGTGGATTTTGCGCCAGACCGTTCTGGCATCTGTACGGTTATTTATACCTTCGCAGAATTTTTTCCAGTCTCTACTTTTGGCTATTTGGACTAGTTTTTGAACCTGGTGGTTTAGTTCGTGGGCTATGTTTAAATATTTGTAGTCGCGTTTTGCTTTATTGAAGGCTGATTTACGTTTTCGTCTAGTCTGTTCTATTTCCTCATTCCACCATGGTACCGTCGGTTTGCCTGTCTTAGATGTTTTGAAGGGGATAGAGGTTTTGGCTGCGTTTATTATATAGTCTGTTAGGTTTTTACAATAGGTTTCTGGATCATTATTTTCTATTTCGTTTAAGTTAGCTTCGTTGCAGATATCTTGGAATTGGTCCCAGTTAGCTTTATTGTAATGGAATTTTGGTTCTTGGTTTTCTGTTTGGATTGGTACGTTTGTATTAAGCGTTATTTGCGAGTGTTGTCATATATACACCGCCACACTATGGTGGCCGTTGATAGGATGAATGAAGCGATATTTGCGAGTTTTGTCATATATACATCGCCACACTATGGTGGCCGCTGATAGGATGAATGAAGCGTTATGTGCGAGTGTTGTCATATATACACCATCACACTATGGTGGCCGGTGATAGGATGAATGAAGCGTTATGTGTGAGTGTTGTCATATACGCCACACTATGGTGGCCGCTGATAGGATGAATGAAGCGTTATGTGTGAGTGTTGTCATATACGCCACGCTATGGTGGCCGCTGATAAGATGAATGAAGCGTTATGTGTGAGTGTTGTCATATATACACCGCCACACTATGGTGGCCTCTGATAGGATGAATGAAGCGTTATGTGTGAGTGTTGTCATATATACATCGACACACTATGGTGGCCGTTGATAGGATGAATGAAGCGTTATGTGCGAGTGTTGTCATATATACATCGCCACACTATGGTGGCCGGTGATAGGATGAATGAAGCGTTATGTGTGAGTGTTGTCATATATACATCGCCACACTATGGTGGCCGTTGATAGGATGAATGAAGCGTTATGTGTGAGTGTTGTCATATATACACCACCACACTATGGTGGCCGGTGATAGGATGAATGAAGCGTTATGTGCGAGTGTTGTCATATATACACCACCACACTATGGTGGCCGTTGATAGGATGAATGAAGCGTTATGTGCGAGTCATGTCATATATACACCGCCATACTATGGTGGCCGCTGATAGGATGAATGAAGCGTTATGTGCGAGTGTTGTCATATATACACCGCCACACTATGGTGGCCGCTGATAGGATGAATGAAGCGTTATGTGTGAGTTTTGTCATATATACATCGCCACACTATGGTGGCCGTTGATAGGATGAATGAAGCGTTATGTGTGAGTGTTGTCATATATACATCGACACACTATGGTGGCCGTTGATAGGATGAATGAAGCGTTATGTGCGAGTGTTGTCATATATACATCGCCACACTATGGTGGCCGGTGATAGGATGAATGAAGCGTTATGTGTGAGTGTTGTCATATATACATCGCC